AATAGTTACGAAGAAACAGCTGTGTTAACATAAATCTTGGTCAACTACAATGCATCATACCTGGACTGAGACTGTATGTCAAAATAACGTGACTGAAGCACTTGAAGCAAATATTGGATCCCGTGGTTTATGACTGGAACTCAGAAGCTCTATTTTTTGTGGAATTAGTTGGTCGTTAACGGTCCGACGATCATAGAGAAATTATAGGACCCGAAAAAGTTCTTCCTAGGCGTTATTGATTCACTTTAAGGGTTGGCTTCAGCTTAGACTTCCATCCAATAGAAATCATTAGTGACCGCTGAAGTACTATGGTGCAAAGTTGTAAGTGGTTTGAAGGTTGCACTAAGCTTTTACCGTAGTACAAAATCTTGCAATATTGAATGGTTATCGCTTAGGCGCAGCACACTAACACTTAAATACTACATCAGACAAATTCCAAAGTTATGGAGCTCGAGCCGTTCAAGCCAACACCTATAGTCTCCGTGGGCGCTTGATACAGGTACAGCATACGGTAGCTGTGCCGTAATGAAAAGAAGTACGATATCCGAAATGGTTTATAATGAAAATTTGAGTTCATGGCCGCCCTTCAGTTTGCATCATAAAGTCTTAAACAGATTTCCAAATGATAAAATGGTAGTAACGATTATAGTTAAAACATTCGCAACTTGTTTCGAATGGATGACTATCGAGCATTCGTTCGTAAAAATCTATTCGAATCGCCATTTAGAATGTATCCGGATCCAATATCGAATCATCAAATAATTATGCATGACTGAATATTCGAGTACATGAACACCGGAATAAGTGCGCTGTTGCGGATGTTCGACTATTCGAATGGGATAATCGATCGTTGAAACTTAAATGCTCCTCAATCATATTCGACGATTTCGCAGACACTCGAATGTTGTTCGAATCTCTGTTTTAAAACTAATCGAATTCGAATACTCAAATGTTTCGAAATAACCCACCTTTTCGAATGGCCGAACAAGTTCATCTTAAATATTCGACTATTCAAAAACTTGAACTAATCTTTCGGATTACTTGAACATGGAATTTCTAATTATTCGAAATGCGTGAATATAATATTCAAACACAAATATTCGGTCTTAAGTATGTTAATAAGCAGTGAGTACGATTTTTTTGACACCCTATATTAGTCTCAACGCACAATAGACCTGACACTTCTGGTTAGAGACTGCTGATAATTAAGAATTAAGAAATAGCTAATCTCAATTTGCAGTAGCTTCCCAGCAAATTGTGTTAAATGTGTAATATCTTTGCCTCAACATTGTCTTTTTTGCTTGTTAGCTCCATAAGCTCTCTACGACACGCGGCTCTATGTAATAGATAAAATCTACCGAAAGCCATTAAAAGGAAACGACTTTTGTAG